CACAACTTGCTTTAAACGGAGTTATATGCGCATATACTATTGCTTTTAACCATCGGTTTAGCTTTAAACTCCGTTTAAAGCAAGTTGTAGAACTGGGCCTTATTAGTCGAACGTATACTATACTATACTATATAATACATGTTCGACCAATAAGCTGGGTTTATTTAACGCAGCATGAGTGAACCCAAGTCTAGTCGAATATGCTAATAGAAAATGTAGCTAATTTCTTTCCAATAAATACCGAATATCACTATACTAAACACTTTTTGTTGAAATTTCAAATGACATTATTGAAAAATTATTTACATTACATTACATTTATGTATAATTTCTCACTTAACAATGTAAATGTAATAAAATACATTTACTTTGCATTTACTTTGCTGCAGTATTTACTGAGCTACTATAAATAAATACATAATGTGAAAGATGTTAACCAAAATGCGACTTAAATTCTTAATCTTTCCACCTAGGTATCACCTCTTCCACATAATTTTGTAGTCTTGGCAGTTTCTTCCGACGTCCTACTTTAAATTAATGAGTACATCCAACTCTTCTTCGTCATCAGATGATGAAGACTATTAATTCACTCAGAGCAAAGAGTAAAAGACTTTAATAATTTTTTTCTTTTTTGGTTATCCATATTTGCACCAACATCAGCCATATTGTAACGATAAATTCACTCAAGTAACGTTCGAGCAGCTCGAAAGCGTAAACTGCGTTAGTCTCTCCGAACGTATCTATCAGCATTAGCGTTTGTTGCGTGATAGCGTGCTCTCCGAACGCACCCAAACAAGAAAGAAAGTTGATACAAACATAGGTCCAAAAATGTGTTGTTTTCGAGTTATCGCCATTTTTATGTTAAAATTTGAAATTGCTTTGCTTTCGAATTTTTTTGGTTTTGGAATTTCGATGGTTTTTATGAGTTTCAAAACACAACTAAAGTCAAATAAAAGTTACGGGCTGCTTTAGCACTACCCAGGATGCACCGCGTGGAGGTACAGCCCGCTTAACATCCCTTGGCAGAGATCAGGACCCACAGTTCGTTACTCTTGTGGTATTTAGTGACTCCAAACCCTCTCTGTCGTGTGTATGTGTGTGTGTGTGTGTTTTATTTGACTTTAGTTGTGTTTTGAAACTCATAAAAACCATCGGAATTCCAAAACCAAAAAAATTCGAAAGCAAAGCAATTTCAAATTTTAACATAAAAATGGCGATAACTCGAAAACAACGCATTTTTGGACCTATGTTTGTATCAACTTTCTTTCTTGTTTGTGGTTCCCCATTCATCTCTCGAGCGATTGACTTCGACTTACGGAACACCCTGTATAATATCATTAGGAGGAATCATCCCAGCAAATACAATAGGCTTGTTCGTTTTGTTTGTACTGCTGAACTAGTGCAACAAATTGAAGTGAGAAAACCTATGTTTGTCTCACTTTAACTTAATGCACCAGTTCAGCAATGCAGACAAAACGAACAGGCCTAATATTACATGTTATGTGCATGTTAGTTGTAATTTCCTACTTAACAATATAACTGTTATATAACACATGTGTTATAATTTATGTGTGTTATGAACTAAGATCTTTATCAGTTTTCTTTCAGTATGTATAACAGTCAAGATATGATAAGCAAAATAATTATTCGATAGAATTATAAATAAGATTATCGAATTTGAAATTCTCGGGCGGAGCCCTCTCCCGCTTATATGTACTGTTTCTTATATTTAAAGTAAATGAAAACTGCTTGTCTACTTCAAATATACTTTAAGAGTCTGCAGTATTCCGTACTCGCGTACTGATATTTGTCGGTGTCGTTAGCAGTATTGCGTAGCTTTTTTGTTATATGAAAAACCTGCGCAATGCCGCTAACGGCACCGACAACTATCGATATGCAGGTACGGAATATAGCCCCAGGTTCCTCTCTGTTGATATAATTCGCTCCAGGTTCTATCAGGGTGCGCTGGAAGCGGTCGTCATAATGCTTTCGCCTCTATAAAGTAGAAGACTATTCTCCATGAGTTACATTAACCTTCCTGTAAAAATACGCCTGATGTGTGAGTGGGTTATGTATTTTTAAAAATGTGAAAAGAATGTGTAGGCTATTGTAGAATAGTAGTGACCGGTGGTAATGACAAAGGGCCGAATTGTGTACGATAGTGTTACACAAAAAATCTGTGAACGATTTGAGAAAACGCAATATAATCAGTGAGAGATATAAAAATAGTGATGATGGTGAACGTGTTGTGCTTGTGGGTAGTTCTGAGTGTGTGCGCCACGTACGCTTTTAATCTGGAACCACGAATACCTGTCATTAAAAGGGGATCGAGGGGTTCCTATTTCGGTTACTCGGTGGCCGAACATCAGGAAATTGTACCCTCACTACCAAAATCTACGAGTTGGTAGGTATCAGTAGACGCTAGAATAAAAAAAGATTAACACGAAATTTTGTAGTACTTGTTGAGTGATAATATTTAATTTGTGTTATGTTGAAATAAATTATGCTTTCTTAGTTATTTCAATCTTTATGCAAAGTTATCACTTGGAGAAATTAATTCTACTTTTCTTAATATTTTAAGCCTATTTTACTGATCTTTTGCAGGATGCTGGTAGGCGCACCTCTAGATCAGAATTTACAACCAGGAACGAATAAGTCAGGAGCTTTATGGCAATGTCCACTGACAACTTATACAAGAGATTGTACACAAGTCATTACTGATGGACAACTTAGTATGTTCTTTTTATATATTATTCATCATTGCCTCTATAATTGTATTAATGTGATAACTTGAAATATATTTATAGTAGCATTGTTGGAACATAATTTAATTTATGTATCATTATATTTTCATAAGATTTTGCTGGATATGTTAATCAGCTTACAAGTTGTTGTATTTTTTATGTTTTATATAACATGCAATTAAAAAATTCTATTTTTATATCAATATAGTATATACGATATAAATAGGATATATTGCACACTATATATAACTTAAAAAACTCTTAAATGTTTCTAAAATAGTGCTACATAAAAATTCATCTAAAAGAAGTTGTATGGTATAAAAGAATATATTATAAAAGTTGTTACTATAATAACATATTTATACCATATATTTTCATAGAATTAATTATGAATTATTTTAGAAATATTTAAAGTGTCTAAATTTATATATGATGACTGGTTTTATATAATTATTTAATTATGTAATGATTTTGTACTATATATAATAAGATATTTTTTTGTTGAATCATGTTACGGTAAACCAGAGGACAATATTCTAGTATACAGACCAAACGAATACGAATCATATGATTCAAGTAAGTGTGCAAACTTTTCGGCCAAAGTCCTTGCAGAATGAATTGAATGAAGAGTTTCACAGTTTTGACGCAGTTTGCCATTTATATTGCATATTTCTCTTTGAATTAGAATATGTTCAGGAGCAAATAAACAAAAGCATGCGATATAAAAATTTTATCATTGAAGATTTATTGCACAATAATCCTTTTGTATGGAAGCTTGTACAAAATAACATAAAATAAGATAAATAGTTATCGTATAATAATTTTACAAACAAGAGTATCATATAATTGTTCATAGCAATTCTATGCAACAAATATTGGCTGATATTCTTTATTAACATTATTGCTCTCACTATCTGTTTCTTTTCATATAGGACAATTTTTTATTTGCATTTATATTGCATGGTCATTGCATAAAGTAATTAACACAATAACGTCTTATTTTCATGTGACCAGAAATTTTAACCAATTATTTAATTAATCAGAGAAATTAGAATTGTTTGTCTTTCGTGAAACTATACTAATGCAATGTACTAATTTCTCACAGCAAGAAAATATGTTTCCTCTGATTTATTTATCTTATTACTTATCTTATTCCAATATCACGTGTGTTTGCATAGGATATTTTATATATATTTATTATTATATTTTTTAGATCATGTTACTCATGTATTTTTTATTTCATTACTTTTATTTTCAGTATTTTTATTCTTTTTGTCGTCTTTAATTTAAATATTTATAATTAAAATGTAATAAAATCTAAAATTTACAGAAATATTTAGTTTTGGGTACTTAAAACAATAGACTATACAGGAATTTTTTTTGGAAAAATTATGCAATGTATTGATTTGTATAACTTGGCATATTTTTATATATGTATAAAGGAATATATTAAAAATAATGGTGTTTATGATTAACTTCAAACTTTCCATATACAGTGTCCACCAAACGTTCCAGGCCACCTAAATAATTTTGAATGGTTTGAAATGTAGGATTGAAATTTATAGGGATATTTATAGGGAAATTTATAGGGATAATGGGATCACAAAGTCTATTATACAGGGTGTGCCAAAAGAAGCGGGACGGTCGAATATTTCGCGAAATTTACATCGGATCGAAAAATTGAAAAACACGTGTTCAATATTTTTCAAAAATCTATCGAATGACACCAAATACGACCCCCTACCCCCACCCCCTGGGGGTGGGGCGGGGGGCAACTTTGAAATCTTAAATGGGAACCCCCATTTTTTATTGCAGATTTGGATTCCTCATGAAAAAATAAGTTACTTTTATTCGGGACATTTTTTTCGAATTGTTGATAGATGGCGCTGTAATCGCAGAAAAACAAATACAGATCAGAAGTCTGCAAACGGTCAAATTTGTCGGGACATACGCTTCGGAACACAAAATTAGTATTTTTGAAAAGGCTATCTAATGATGCTACAGTAGACCGATAGATGGCGCTCTAATTGCAAAAACAATTCTTTCTCGCAAGTGAAAGTATTTCTACAGCTAATATGAGGTTAACGTCTTTCGTTGATTTTGTATCTGACTTTATTAAAAAACTACGTTTAGCATAACCCAGGAACAACGACGTGGACGTAGTAGTTTTTTTGTTCCCTTCGGGGTGCTTGTTTTTTAGTGAGTCCCCTTGCCTCTCACTTATCGGGGTGCTTGTTTTTAGTGAGTCCCCTTGCCTCTCGCTTATCGGGGTGCTTGTTTTTAGTGAGTCCCCTTGCCTCTCACTTATCGGGGTGCTTGTTTTTAGTGAGTCCCCTTTGCCTCTCACTTATCGGGGTGCTTGTTTTTTAGTGAGTCCCCTTGCCTCTCATGATTGCCGCCAATAACTTTACTGTAGTAAATGCTCAAATTGTGCACCGTTTACTTCCTGGCAGTAAGCTAATCGATGGTAAACAGATTCGATGGAATTTTTTAAGTATTCTGCAGGTATTTGGGCAGCTACATCAATTATTCTTTGACGCAGTTCATCTAAATTTTGAGGTTTCGTTTCGTAAACCCGATTTTTTAAATAACCCCACAAGAAAAAATCAAGTGGAGTTAAATCTGGTGACCTGGCAGGCCATTCGATCGGACCTCTTCGTCCAATCCAACGATCAGGAAAATGTTCATCTAAATAATTACGAACGTTCCGTCCGTAATGAGGTGCAGCACCATCTTGCTGAAACCAAACCTGCTCCAAGTTATCGCCAGCAATCTCCCTTATTGTTGGAATTATTTCATTTCGAAGCATGTTTTCATACCTTTGAGCAGTAAGATTACGTCGTCTTACCATCGATAAAGAATGGCCCAATCAAATGATGATGTATTATTCCAGCCCAAACGTTTAATTTCTGTGGGTATTGGGTTTTGCTCTCTCGCATCCAATGTGGATTCTCGTCTGCCCAATACCTGCAATTATGCCGATTACAAGTACCATTCAATTGAAATGTTGCTTCATCTGAGAATACAATGTTGTAAAGAAAGTCTGGATCTTGATCTATTCTAAGTATCATGTCCTCACAAATTCTAAACGTCGGTCGGGATCATCTTCATTTATCTCATGAACAAGTGTCATTTTGTAAGGATGCAATTTATTACTTTTCAAAATCCTGCGGACTGAAGATGTACCAATTTCTTGAGCTTGGGCAGTTCTACGAAGACTACTGTGAGGATTTTCCGTAAATGATAATAAAACATTCAACGCTTTTTCTTCGTTTGTTGCTGACTTTGGTCTTCCTAATTTAGCTCGATCTTTCATAGAGCCTGTAGCTTCAAATCTTCTAACCGTTCTCTCCACAGTCGATTTGGAGATAGGATCCATTCCAATTCGAAAAGTATCATTGAAAATATCTCTTGCTTCCGAGTATGACCTTTTCCTATCACCCCAGCCTACCATCGTTAGTAATGACATTCTTCTTGTTCATTAAGATGAGCCATTTTGAAAGAAAAAACACATTTTCAAGTAAAATTTTTCTTTATAGATGAAGGTTCATCTGCTTGAATCAACTTAAACAGTTGAACTAATGTGTCATTTAAAAAGTACCTACCAAATGGATGAAGCAAAAAAAATCACAACAAAAATAGTCCACTTTTTGTTTACGTATTTATTAATAAAGAAAAGAACTCTTACCTTGCCTGAATATTGTTTACACGAGTATGGAATCACAAACATTTTCATTTCTACTTCAATAGATTAGTTTTCGACAGGTTTATTTTTAATTGCTTATTGAATAATGGCTGGTAGAGAAGCCGAAAGCTACTACAAGAATACAGTTTATCGTTAATAAAGTGAGGTTCGTCAATTTATAATTCTTCGAATGTTTTATTACCTAGTGTATTTTATACGGGACTCACTAAAAACAAGCACCCCGATAAGCGAGAGGCAAGGGGACTCACTAAAAACAAGCACCCCGATAAGTGAGAGGCAAGGGACTCACTAAAAACAAGCACCCCGAAGGGAACAAAAAACTACTACGTCCACGTCGTTGTTCCTGGGTTATGCTAAACGTAGTTTTTTAATAAAGTCAGATACAAAATCAACGAAAGACGTTAACCTCATATTAGCTGTAGAAATACTTTCACTTGCGAGAAAGAATTGTTTTTGCAATTAGAGCGCCATCTATCGGTCTACTGTAGCATCATTAGATAGCCTTTTCAAAAATACTAATTTTGTGTTCCGAAGCGTATGTCCCGACAAATTTGACCGTTTGCAGACTTCTGATCTGTATTTGTTTTTCTGCGATTACAGCGCCATCTATCAACAATTCGAAAAAAATGTCCCGAATAAAAGTAACTTATTTTTTCATGAGGAATCCAAATCTGCAATAAAAAATGGGGGTTCCCATTTAAGATTTCAAAGTTGCCCCCGCCCCACCCCAGGGGGTGGGGGTAGGGGGTCGTATTTGGTGTCATTCGATAGATTTTTGAAAAATATTGAACACGTGTTTTTCAATTTTTCGATCCGATGTAAATTTCGCGAAATATTCGACCGTCCCGCTTCTTTTGGCACACCCTGTATAACTATAAAAATAACCACCTACATCCCCGGAGGCCGGGGGAAAGGGGAGCCAAAAAGTCTTAAATGGTATGTGGGGTTGAGTGAGGACTCGTTCGAAAGGGCTTTCCGAGACGAGAACAATGCGAAGTCGCCGAGGTCTCTACAATTTTTTTTCGCAAAGTTATGAACATTCCTATTGAGATTTTGCGATAGCGAGAGTCTAGGGTGACAACAGAAAAAAGATAAGGCTTCACGCGGGCACGCGCGTTCTTGAATACGCACACATACATACACACACAACAGAGAAGGTTTGAAGTAGTTAAATACTACGAGACTGACGAATCGTAGGGTCCTTATTTTGTGACTAGCGCGCGCGCGCGCGCACACACACACACACACACACACACACGCACACGCACACACACACCACACACACACCACACACACACCACACACACACCACCACACACACCACATACACACCACACACACACCACGCACACACCACACACACACCACACACACCACATACACACACACACACGCCCACGCGTCCGTGCACACACCCGCGCACACGCACGCACACACACATGCACACACGCACGCGCCCGCGTGAAGCCTTATCTTTCTTCTGTTGTCGCCGTGGGCCTTCGCTATCGCAAAATCTCAATAGAAATGTTTAAATGACTATAACTCTGCGAAAAACAATCGTAGAGATCTCGGCGATTTCGCGTTTTTATCTTGGAAAGCCCTTTCGAACGAACCCTTACTCAACCCTACATGCTATTTCAGATTTTTTGGCTCCTCTCTTCCCCCGGCCCCCGGGGGTGGAGGTGGGTGTTTTTGTGGTTAAATAATAGACTTTGTGATCCCATTGAATCCTTATAAATTTTAATCCTATATTTCAAACCGTTCAAAAATTATTTAGGTGGCTCGAAACTTTTGGTAGGCACTATATATACAGTGCCTACGAAAAGTTCGGGGCAATCTAAATAATTTTTGAACGGTTTGAAATATAGGA